TATTTTTAAGTCTGTGCATATTAGAACACTCTGAAGCCTTAAGAGAGTGGGATTTAAAAAGACCTTTGAAGATGGCAAGTCCCATTACTTGCAAAGGCCTAACATCATCACAGTAAGCTCCAACAGCAACTATTATTCTTCCATCCATGCGAATCTTTAAAGGGTGAAGCCCAAATTAGATAGATATAAAAGTTCCATCACAATCAACAACATAGTTTAAGTTCATTTGAGTAGCATATGATGCTACTAGTGAGTAAAAATCTGATTTAATATTACTAGTCGACCCCTCTGGGCTAAGTGTGCATCTGAGTAGCATCTGAGATATTAAGATTTTTCTCTCAATCTCTCTCTCTCATAATCCCCTAATCCATCAATCTAGGTGGTCCTGTGAAAAGATAAGAAGAGAAGAGAATGATCTAGTTCTCCTTGCAGATTGATGTTTCAGATCCGAAGATGAAGTGCTTGTAGATCAGATAAGGTTTATTCTTCTGAACAACAATAAAGGTACGCATCGTAATATTGTTAGATCCAATTTATTTGATTTCAATCTAGGCATAAAAATTTTTCCGCATTATAGATAGCATGATTACAGATTTTATGCTAACAATTGGTATCAGAACCAAGTTCTTGAGATCAAATTTATTAGATATATTATTTTTGTTTACGATGCCTGAATGATTCATCGGATATTATTGATCTGTTTTTTCTATATGATTTGCTCTATTACTAATTATGAGCAATGTATAATTTTATGTTTCATCGATAAATTTACTGTTTACTATCATCAATGTTATTGAGACAATCATCTCTATTGATCGTTGTTGACGAAGGGCCATGTACCATGCCGCAGTCGCGCATCACAGTCGTGCGTGGGCAGAGGTTCGCTTGTGAGCGGTGGCAGCACCACGAGCATCCCGTACCGCCTGTGAACACGGTGACTGCGGAAGGCGGCGGCTGCACCCCGTGTGAAGGCATCGACTGCCCTCACGCATAATGGTGGCGCCCGTAGAAGGCACCTGCGGAAGGGCGGTGGTTGTAGATGGTGGCAGCCGCTGCCCCCCGTGGACAAAGGGTAGTGGCTGTAGATGGTGGCAGCCGCTGCCCCCGTGGACACGCGCAGGCGGGAACCGCGACAGCCGAGCACATGTAGTAGTAGCGATCGCGCGCGGGCACGGGCGGTACAAGCAGTGCCGCGACGTGGCAATCGCGCACCAGCGGTGGCCACACGCTGGTAGCAGCCACGCGTGGGCAAGAACCGCCACAGCGGTCGCTCGTGGGCAGAGGCAGCCCCCATGGTAGCAACGACCACATGCGGGCAGGTACCGCCGCAGCGGTCGTGCACTAGCAATAGCCGCGGCCAGCCATGCGCGCCGTCCGCAAGCAGGAAAGGCCGCAACGGCCACGCGCAAGCAACGGCAGCACCGCACATAGCGCCGCAGCGGTCGCGCGCGAGCAGCGGCAACGCCGCACGCGCAGGCACGACAAGGCAGATTAGGGTTTTCTTGGCATAATTATAGTTTTGACCTCGAGGCTAGGGTTTTGCAAAATTATAGTTCTGCCGTTTGCAAATTTCGTAATTCTAGTTTATGTTCCGTCAACATATTTATAATTTTACCCTCGAGTCTAATTTCTACCAAATTATAGTTCTGCCATTCATAAATTGCATATTTTCGATTTATCCTATCAAATATTTATAGTTTTATCATTATAAAATTGATAAATTTAGTTTATATTCTCAATTGTAAAATTAATAAATATGATTTATTATAATTATGATTGAATTTAATCATGATTATATTTTGGTTATTTGATTGGATTTAATTTTTAATAAAAAACTATAAATTATGGTTTACTTTATAATTTTCTCATATGAATTATTGATTATACATGTGATAAATAAAATCCAATTATTGTTCTTAGATATTTATTTAGTTATTCACATGTATATATTTGAAATTATGAAATAATGTTTACCTTTCACATGAAGGCATGAATTATATGTTATCATGATTATCATATGAGTTTTCTTTTGTTGATTAATGTTTAATAATTATTATGATTATTATTTTATTATTAAATTGCTTAGTATTAATGCTTAATAATTATTATGGTTGTTATTTTATTATTGAATTGCTTAGCGTTAATGTTCAATAATTATTATGGTTGTTATTCTATTATTGAACTGCTTAGCATAAATTAAAGAAATTTGATGAATATTATTTGTAATTTATCTCCTTAAGTTTTATCTGACTTGTAGTTGCCAAAGTAGCCTTGGATGATAAACTTTTGTGATATAAATTACAATAAAGGTCTTATCATTTATAGGTCATTTTAGATTGTATTTTATATTTTTGTATTGGTCCTACAGCCACCAAAGTGACCTGGACCGATAATTTATAAAATATATTATGAAATTAGTCCTAAATGATATTAAATAAAAATAATATTTACAATGGCAGTATGAATCAGGATAAAGAAATTTAGTGAATATTATTTATAATTTATCTTCCTAAGTTTTATCTGACCGGTAGCTACCAAAGTAGCTTGGGAG